CATAAAAAAGTATTAAACGTTTACTAAATGGAAACAACAAATGGATGTGATAAACGTGACAGGTGATTTTCCCAGTCCGTAATGATGGTTTCTCGGTTTACTACAATGCGAGAAAAGTCAGGGATGCTGCTGTTTAGATATGTGGTAATACCTGCATAAATAATCCTGAATTTGTAACGCGTGTTCGGATGAGATACAGATTTATTGAAATAGGTATACAGACAGTGTTCTTCCTTAGACAGTATACGGCTGATATTCTATCACATTAATGAAAATGTTTGCACGTAAAAACGGATTTAGAGAAACCACTGCAACGGGAAAGAAGTTTAAGAGATCTGGAAAAGAGAATAAAGCCTTTCTCCATTAAACCGAGGAAAATACTGGGGATAAGTAAACCCAAAATGGAAGAATGCAGGCTATCAAAGTCTGAAAGCGTAAAAGGATAAGCTATCAACCTAAACATAATTGTTTTCAACATTCTTGGATCATGAAAGATTGTGACAAATTAGCTGCAAAATATTTGACAGAGTCAGCTCTGAGAATGATAGTGTTGTTAATAACAAAATTAGACTGGTTACTAGAAGAGCTTAATGATCAATACTTGTTTCAAGGCTAAAAAGGAACAGTCATACATCTATCAACATTGAGCATCAAAAATAGCAGCGCAGACCAACTAAAGTTTGATTTACATGGTCCTGTAGTTGACAGAAACTGTCAGAATCAGTCGAGGAGCAACCAAACACCACTTACGTCATCAGCATACTTGCATGTGATGAAATTGAAAGGGATGGGAAGGTTACCAATGGTCAGCGAAAAAAGACATAGGGTCCAAATAACATCCTGAAAAATCCCAGATTTAACGTCTATCAGGGAGGAAGATTTACCGTTACAAAAAGTAAATCGCGTCCTATTTGAGTTGTAAGTGATTAGTACATTCAATACATCAGGTATCAGGCAGCAACCCGAAGGACAATGAATGAGAATGCCGCAGTCAAGTGATCTGAAAGCATTGGTATATTAAACAGAGGATACCAGACCCTTTATCCAATGAAGATGAAACAGAATGGACAATGCAAGTAACAGCATCGGGAGTGAAAAGCGAGAGATTGTAAGCAAATTGAATAGGGCCATGTGCAACTAATAAAAGGGTTATCCGGTTTAGAAGCAATCATTAGAAAACTTTCAATAGTGCTGATGTACAAGCAATCGGTCGGTACTTGAGCGATACCTTCCAGGAGTTTGGTGTTCTCTAGGTAGCTCTCCAGTAATCAGGAATACTTCCAGATGACACAAGCCGAATAACTCGGAGATAGGTGAAGTAAGCTATTCGGAACACACTTTCAATAGAACAGGGGATAATGAAACAGCCCTGTGTCTTGTTGGATTTAAGGGACTTCAGCATTTTCGAAACTTCTGTCGGGTTGAGGAAGTGGTTCTCTATAGTGGTGTTCGGTTTAGTTCAGAAACATTCGCGAATTGACGACTTAAATCCTCTACATCCGGGATAAAGCTATTACGTAAACCACAGAGCTGCTTCAAGGCAGGCCACATATCACGACAGTTCTTGTTTCCCATAAGAGTTACAATATACGTTCTATTTAGGCGCAGTATTTCCAGTTTGATTGGAAATACTTGATGTTTAACAGCGCTGTACCCCCTCCCCCCAGTTCAGCAGGTCTTTTCTTTATCACTTTGGAAGAGGTAAAGAGAATCTGAATTCGGTAAAAACCATGTCTCTAAGTCTGGCTAAGTTGCCACAGGAGCAAGATTTCCTTCTGATGTTTCTAGCGGTAACAAGATGCATTTTCTGATGAAAATGTTTACCGCAAATTTTGGGAACTATGAACAGAGCAATCGTCTGAACTGCTTATGGGAGCCTACTGTTCAATGAGAAATATTTCAGGGTTGTTTGTAAAGATGCCATCAAGTTGGACACCGAATCCTGTGGGAAAATTTACAAGATTTGCCATGCCTGCGGTTGGCTGGAAAGAGGTGTCAAAACGAGTGAAATTAACAGCCGCGAGGCATAGAGACTGGTCTAAACCTGTTTCATGTTGAGAAGAGAAAGAGTCAACAACTCAACGAATATCAGAAGCAGGCGTGTCAAGAGCAATACAACTGTCAGCATGTGTATTATGATGAAACTGACCGAGAAATCGGGGCTTACAATAAATAAGAATGCAGTTTATCTGAGGAATGCTGAAGTGAAAATAATGAAGCGAGTTTACTATCAAGTTTCGCTCACGAAAGTAACCACTCCGCCACCTCTGTGAAGGAAGTTCACATTTCGAACGCTTCGAAAGATATCAAATCCATCAAGATGCACGACGTTGATTACAATACCGGGATATAGCCAACTTTCCAACTTGCCGCTACATTCTTACATTCCTTCTGTTGTATCATGCTTTGGACATCATGAGGGAACGAATGTCACTTGAGATACTAGATGGGAGGATCGAATTACCAGCGGAACGCCACCTAAGCGCGAGTCGCCAGTCAGCACAGCTTTTATGTGGGTGTCCTTGAACACTTTTACGTAATGGTTTGAAGTAACTTCTCAGATAATGGGTAAACGTGAGAAACTGACCATTCTGCGCAATAAACTGCAAGGATTTCAAAAACGTGGCCCTATGGAATAGCATTTAACCTTGATAATGCAACAAATTAATTTAACAATAAGAGCCGGGGGTTTGTCCAATGTAACTTTGCAAAAATATAAGCTCATGTTAACAACGCATGGGCAAATTTAAAGACCCTGCCAAGTGCATCGTGCTTTCGTTCACCTTTATACCCTAGAAGGTTTCACTAAACCAACCGAGGAGCTGTTCCGCACGGTGACTGACTTGCGCAATTCGAACAACAGAAGAACAATTGAAACATTTGGGGCATGATGGATATTCCCAGATTATGATTAGTGCTCAATTTGCTCGATACGATCTATAGACCTGCTGGAAAACTTACCGATGAATAATACCTCGTGATTGTAAATAGGCCATTCCGTCGGCGATTTGAGAGGCCCATTCAAGCAGCAAAAGTGTGGGCAAATCCGGTTCGTGCACACGCAAATACCGATCCAAACTACCATTCAGAACATAAGCCGAGACAAGACACTTGCGAGTTTGAGATAAACAGACACCGAGCAAAGGCAGACAGTGTTTGTGCGACACGGATGCCATCACCTGATAGAAAGCAACAGAACATGAGAAGGAAAATGGAATTTATTATCGGTTAACAGCGGAAAACTCAGACCCCAAGCGTTCAACCGGACTAAATATGTTTTGTCGTCATCCGTTAAATTCAGCTTGCAACGACTGATATTTATGACTTGTTTTTCACCAGCAGCGAAAGGTCAACACAAAGCGGTCGCCTTTCCCCTTCACAAACACAAACGATTCAGGAGGGAGTGTGTACAGGCTTTTAAGTGGGGTAATAAAGCGACGGAACCGTAGCGGAAAATTCGACTCAGCAGTGTGTTTTCGTCTTAGTGAATCACCTGATAATACATTGACTTCTTTTCCATATTCTAAGCTTTCACTGTTCACTGTGAAATGTGTTCATGCTTTTCTCATGGAAAATGAGTACCACAGTGTAAATCCATTCGTCTGTTCTTGCTTATTAACCCCGTACGCGGAAACCGATCCATACATACGTTATAGTCAACGTTGTTCGACATCAATGCCGACGCTACTAGTCATTAGCTTCTTGACGAATAAACACGTGATGCTGTAACGTGATTCACCATGTTAAAGAAGTGCATCGCTCAAACGCAGTAAGGGGCTCGTCAGACCCCGGATCGTAATTGTTTCGTTGACATTTGGACAGTTGGTTGTCCAATTTCGTCAGTGGTCCAGGACAACGGTGATTCACCCATTCGCACAAGCGCTTCATTGCGACGGCGGTTATCAATCGACTGCAAATTCACTACTACTAATAGTAGCACCACTGCTACTGCTAGTATTTTGAGATACTACTCATTTGTGAGTAGTAGGTAACATATTCGGTGATTTATTTGAACGTTCAAAAATCAACAAGATTTCCAAGAATAACCATCGATTGCTACATTTATTACCTGTCGTGCAGCCAGGTACTGCGATGGTATGTTTCTGATCAGATTTTCTGTGTTATGTATGCCAAATTACTGATGTCCCATCTGTGATCCTCAATAAACGATTATCCTCGCCTAGCATCACCTTCTGAAATTATAACACTACTACTACTACTACTATTACTACTACTACTACTGTTACTACTACTACTACACAGTCCCGCTTACCTGCTGGGCGAACTGCGATTATCCGTCCCCCGTTTGCACAACTACTTATTGCGTCAGAGTTGAATGCCTAAATTTCACTGTCATCAGCAAATCTAGCTATGGTTTTGGTGACTATTATAACGGAAATGGCTCGATTTTGGAGACGAATTTATCTAAAAACAAAAACTGTGATTTTATGTAATATTTTTAAATTGATTGCTCCAAATGATGCTCATCGATGGACACATTGTGCGACCAAAAGACAACAACCAAAACCGGAGCACGAAAGGGCATCTTTAATGGTTGTACAAGGTGGAACTGAAACGGAATGCATAAAGTATTAGCATTCAACATTTGGTGTCTGCATTATCGACTCATTCAATACGGGTTTGAACCCAATTGTTATGAAATCATTGATCAAAACACTCGGGCGAACAGCTATCCCAGATTGTTTGACCACATGCATGTCCATGAATGACCGATTCGACTTTTATGTTGCATCGTTCATCTTCTACCAAGACCGAAATTTGTTACAGGGAGTAGTGCCGGAAGAAACATTTGAAGGGCTGAATCGAACACCTAGTGCCAACAATGAAGAACGGTTAGAAGGCGGCCATTCTTATGTGACCTTCGAGAATGTTGCGGAACGATATCTATGAAAAGTAAAAACAGAGCGTTCTAATGAAACCAAATTGTGGGTGATATCGAATGGCCAACTTTGAAACAACGCAGGTCATCCATGTATTTTTTAAGGACTATTATTCCAGGATAGAAGTTTGACATCTACATCACGGAGAAATCGTGGAGTTTCCTCGAAATACCAAAAGATTTCGCCACAGTGCCATGAATAGCCACGGGCTGTTTGAGCATTCGCAACACATTATGCTTCTCTTCCATAGACTGGCGCTTAAATATTTGTCAGATGATACCGACGTGGACTGCTGAGTGTGTGCGCCTTCCTCATGTTATTGGCTAAATGCGACGCTGCATGTTAGTTAGTCAGTGGCTAACCCTTTCGTTGGTCAACGGCCAGAAAAGTATCAGGAACTGCGATATACGGAGCGGGCGACATTGCATAACCAAGACTTACGTTCTTGCTAAAAACTGGGATCATATTGAAGAAAACGACTTTCCATGGGTCCGAAATAAAAGGAGTTTGAATGTATTTAATTGCTCTACCTGTGCATAACACCAAGCTTATCTTGCTGGGTTTTCATTTGGGAAACCAAAATACTGATAAACTCTGATCATATGCCTCAACGCAGTCTGAAGCACGTGGTCTGATTAAATCATAAACAGTCAGGAACAAAATACGAATAACATTCACAGTTTGCTTTTATGATCCAGTTAAACGCACCAAGAGCAGGCGTAAGTGAGGTACTTAAGGAATCCGACGGCACACTGATCCATGTTCAGCAACGCCGTCTTTGTCGATGGGCAAAACATTTTAAGGCTCAGTTCAGCTGGTTCTCGTCAGTGCAAGACCTCCCCACACCCAATTCAACTGTGCAAATACTGCCAGTTGATATCAGTCCTCCATCTGAAATAGAGGTTAACCGAGAAATAAGCTATCTCAAAAGGTATAAGGTCTCCGACCTCGACGGGCTGTCCCCATCGGTGCTTAAGGATGGGGGTCTAGCCTTTGTTTTGGAGTTAACAAAACTCCTGGGTTCAGTGTGGGAAAAGGAACAGGTTCCAACTGAATGGTGTGAATCGGTGATCATACCGATTTGAAAGAAGGGCCACAGGTCCTCTTATGAAAACCACAGAGGAATTAGTTTGTTTACCATTGCCTCTAACCTTGGTATTCGCTTTGCATCTTCAAAGTGTAAAATGCTGCTCCAAGATTGGGTTGGCCCAGTCTCCGGCCTCACTCTGACCGGGAAAATTGTAGAGAGAGTAGACAAGTTTTGCTACTTGGGCAGCTATATCTCACTTGGTGGAAGCATCACAGATGACGTATCGGCGCACATACAAAATGCTCGGTTGGCATTTGCCAACCTGAGACATATGTGGCGCCATCGCGACATCCGGTTGTCTGTGAAGGGTAGATTATATGCTGCAGCAGTTTGGCCAGTTCTGCTTTACGTTGCAGAAACTTGGCCATTACGGGAGCAGGATAAAAATAGATTGTCGGTGTTCGAACACCGCTGTCTACGTCACATTGCGCAAATTTGGTGGGGAAACCAAACGAGCAATACTGAGGTTAGGCGTAAAGATTTGGGTAATCGCGGTCGTCCACTGGAACAAGTAGTCGACCTCCATAGATTACGCTGGTTGGGACATGTGCTACGCATTTCACCATATAGGTTGCCACGGCGAGCGATGCTTGGCGAGGCAGGTAGCCGTTGGAAAAAAATGAAGGGCGGTCAAGCTATGACTGGACATGAGGGTATGAAAACCCTGACCAGGACACTGGGTCACATAGGTCCCGTTAGGCTCCCTGGCTGGGGACCCAGAGATCATGGTCACCGGTGGTTAGAGACACCGAGTGATATGGCTGGGTGTCGCAAACAGTGGAGCTCATGCATCTATTCATTATTTTTGTACCTTCAGTCTATGAAAATATGCTGGATTCCGCTTAAATCTGCTCTCAATATTCCAATCATCATTCTGCTATTTTATCCAAATGGTGAACCAAAAAACAGCAAGGAAAATCGGCGCACGAAGGTGCGTGGTTAATGGTTGTAAGAACTGAACTGAACCAAGAGACATTAGATACATGAAACTCACCTTGGCTTCATCCAACAAAGCTTGCAAATCACTGGATCCCCGACTGTCATTGAGTATTTTCACAGCCACAGGTAACATTCGCCGCTCGTTGAATCGACCCACTCGAGCAGTACCAGGTGTGACTGATCCTGATGAATGAACAACACGCATCAAGGGTTGAGCGCAGTCATCATCAGTCGTGTGGCCAGTGAGCCCGGTGGACTGCGTACCACACGACTGAATTGACTGTGGACGATTTACCAATGTTACTGTTCCGGGTGCAGTATTTTCAATCTCAGAACGTATCTCGGTATAGCCTGAACTTTCTTCGTTAAGACTTTGCACGCGCCATAGTCCACGGTACACCGCTCCAAATGCACCACTACCTAACGGACCACACTGTTCATCCAGAATTAAGTCATCCGAATTGATCATCACCAGGCGACCGAGATTTGGACCACTCATGTTGGTGGAGTACTGTGTCAGCGTCCGAATAGTTTCAGTAAATGAGAAGTCAAGGAAAAAAATCAACCAGTGGTTTGTTCGACTAAAGAATAGGGTTTTGGTGGGGCTGATAAAACAGTATAATCACGATCATATCGCTTGAGGGGTGCGTTCCAATTCCACTGATAATTCTCACTTTCTCCATAAGAAAACTGGGAACGTTGACCTCCGGGATTGGAGTGGAACGCCACGTATGGTTCTGGTGGAGTATGTGCAATACTTATCTGGGAAGAATGAAGCTTGATGGCGATAGTAAGATTTACGCTTCACAACTTGAAGCCCATAACAAAACCACAAGAAGTTAAGGCAAGTTCAATGCAAAGATCCCTAGTCAACTAGGAAATTTAGTGATAAATTATTGACTGAGGGAGTCAGTTAGTTACCCTTCTATTTACTTTTTCTGCAGTCGAAGATTCTGTTTGGTTGTTCGACTCTGTTTCAGTCCCATTAATTTAGTGACTCAAAACAATTCTTCCTTCAGCATCCACCCACTGGGTGGTTGTCTCATTGTATTATCATTCTTAAATGAAAAATATTTCGACTTCGGACCTTATTTGAGCATATGTTTACCATGGAACTTACCACCACGAATTCCTCTACCCAGAAACGTACAGTTGTCAACGTGGTCATCCAGATGAAATGAATAGATCTAACTTTGTATATTTTTCTTTGACTTCTATGCCCTCAAATACTTCTGGTAACGAATAGGGTTCATAATGCAATCGGAGAATGATGAGGTGTACACCCAAGTCTCCATTTGGTTTGCTGTGCCGATGGTAGATTGCCTAGGATAAGAAATGATGTCTGAAATAAAAATTCTTCCGAAAAACTATTGAGGCGGGTCCCGATGTAGATATCCATTAGCTTCAGTTTACACCTGCATATATCTCTGCTCACATCGAAAGGCCTCATGGTGTAAGCGAAGAAGCTTGATTCCCTGGCCTTCTTGATTATCTACTGGGTATACACAAAGATGAAACATATTTTAGCTCTACCTGGAAGCAGCTCAAATTTGGCAGCGTGATAGGAATCAACTACAACCGCTTGATAGCCGCTGTTTGGTTGAAGACTTACCACATGTGAATACTGTGACATGGTGGAGCACGTGGTGTCGGATTTCACCCGTCTATTAGGATTCGCATCAAATGACTGACACTCAATCGATTCACCACCATTCCACGGGATCATTTGTTCGAATGCACCCGGTGCGGTTTTACGACGCAAAGCAGCCGCCAATTTCCAACCCAAACGTGCCCCCATAGATCGGCCTCGTCCCCGTTGGGACTGGTTTTTATTCCAAGCACGCAAGCGTAGACGCAAACAACAACAGCACAATACGAATGCGGTCACGAGGACGATGAGACCGGAGATCCAAAGTAATCCGGAGCTTGGTCCGGTTTTCACTCGGGCAATATGATCTGCACCAGGGCGAGTTTGTTCCTGAAGTAGCTGATTTCGTTCTGCACTCGAAAATGTGGACTGTGTGTGGCAAATCATCTCTCTCGTGGATGGGTGTTTCAAACGAAACGGAAGCCCTGGTGGGCATACAGGGACACAGATAAATTGAATTTTGGAATCTTCTCCAGTCTGTTAAAAGAACGGCAAAAGCTTAATGTGAGATTCATTAGAAACTAAACGGGAGGAAGAACGAGATTCATACAGTGAACTGTCATTTTTCCGGCCCTGCTTATTCAAGGGATAGTGATGAATCTCCAAACCAGTGTAAAGTAATACTTTGCCAAGTGGAACGGTTCATTACTTACAGAGAGTGATAATGCAATTAGGCTATGTGCTAGTATTCACTACGAACAAATGCGAACTATATTTGAAAGTCGAGTTCCTTTGCGCTAATGCTCGAATGCGGTCGTTCAAAAGAGAGTCGGGGTGTAAACGAAGGTCCATATGTATCTACTTCGATATTGGAATAAAGCAATGCAAACATCGTATCACATAAAACTGTGAAAAAGACAGGTTAGAAGAATAGCCAGAAACGCTAGACAGTACAAACGGAACAAGTGAAAATTGAATTAATCCGCGAAAATTGCTTGAACTTCATTGGAAAACCATACCCTCTGCAATTCAAGTTGTCCGATCATCATTTCAAGATACTCGGGTGTCATTTCAAGATAGCCGGGTATCATTTCAAGTTGTCTGCTCATGATTTCAAACTGTCTCAATAACCTCATCGTAGTTACCCGGTTTATGCATTTTCAAAGTCACATTGACTTCTCAACCCCCGGTTGAAGCACCTTGGTGAGGATTGTGCGATGTGCCTCCGTCACACACCTCAATGCCCATGACGTATCGTGATTGTTTACCTTTGCTACTGCNGTCTGTACGCGTCTCTCTCTCCGTGTGTTCTCCCCCTCCCTCTGACAAGTCATATCAGGACAACTTGAGCCCCAAGGAGTGTTCAAGGCGAACGAATTTGAAAGTCGGGGACAAACGGCTTGAAATTGTAGTATGAGAGAGGAGTTCTACTCCACAAACGAGAAGTCTTTACTGTAAGCAACAGTCGAAAGTCAAACATTCCAACGATGCAAATGGAACATACTCGGTTGGAAAATTGATGACACGTTAGCCCCAAACTTATCCCCGGATAAACCAACGCAACCGACAGTGATTCAGCAATCGACAGAGATCGGTAGTCGGGCTAAGTGTGGTTCTGCGCTCCATTCAATGTTGTTTCTTGCGTCGGGGATATAAAATGAGCATTTGACTACTCACAAATAGTTCAACAGTTAAGACGAAAGTTGAATGTTTCGTTTCACTGATTTATTGGTTTGATCACAAGACACATTACTTCACCGTGAATTGATCGAATATTTTAGGACGACTTTACTGATCATGAATCTTTTCCCATTTATGAATGGAAAAGCGTACAAAGTGACAAACTCTTATTGAGAACTTATTGAGAACTCTTATTTTAAAATTTCAAGCGAATGATGGGCCTCGGGAATTGACAATGAGATGATAACACCCGTTAATTTAAAAATTTGCTCACATGCCTTTTTGCTTGGTTGGCAACAATCAATAATTTACTTCCATTTTTCTGAGCTTTATTTAAGGGAATTTTCGAAACAGTTACAACTAATTTAAAAAAACATCTAAAAATCGCTCGGAGTGAGACTGCCTCATTGTTTTGTTACTCGGTGTTGGCATTATCATACACTTCTCCTCCTTGAAGCGTACTCTGGAAAAGTCATCCTCCCCGTTCGATTAGAACACATTGTTCGATCCCCATTTATTTTATCAGTAAAAATTTCTTAGCAAAAACAATTTTCTTCCAGCGAACAGAGATATCAGATTGTATAGCCACACAGAGACAAAACAATACATTGAAGTTTTAACATTCACAGTTTGTGGTTCTTCCTTTTGTGACAGATATCAAAGGTTACATGAATTGCATGATCAGTGTGGGCCATCCAGATATTTCAACGAATCGTGCCACACCAAAGTGTCAGCGGATCTTCAGCAGTTTTGGTTAGGTTTTGTGTAGTATTTTGCGCGTTCAGATGTTTGAGACCGTCATGGATATCTTTTGGGGTGTCTATTGTAAATGCTCTACACTTGCGCTAAACCTCAATTTTGCTTCATATAGTAACTGCAACTTTCATAAAAAATGGCTCACTAGGACACAAAAGATTTCCATAAAATGCAAACGGACATCAAGTGTCTCTTCTTTCACAAAGATTTTATCCAAAAATAAGTCCACATGAAATCTGTCTTTTGACCTTCAGCTTGCATAGGCGCACAGCGCTTCCTTGCTTTTCATTTGACGACTTATTTACACGACAAATTTATCATACAAACACAAATTCATTTGGGGAATGACTGAATAGTCACACCTACCTCGGACGCTGTCCAAAACCGTTTGAACTCCATCACGTCCGTCTGATTGATCGTGATACCGGGAGGCAGAAATGATAACTGAATGCGAAAGTGTAAGCACTGATAGCAATGGTTGATTCCCGCATTCCAACATCCGGATTGACATTCCAAGTGGCAAGCTAAACAGTTTCCATCAAGGAAGTTGACCAACAAAGGACCTTTTCCATCAACAGACTGATTGTTGACGACAGGCAAACTCGTACTGATTGTCGTTGATTCCAATGTCAAAGTGGTTGAGTTTTGCTTCATCATTGTGTACGTATCAGCTGCAATGAATGAGTAGGATCAGGAAAAGAAGAGCAAAATTTATTTTGAGCGTAAAGTTATTTGCATGATTTTTTTGTTTTCAGGTAGATTTCGTTAAGACACTCAGATACTACTTATTGTAATATATATCCATCTAACTTGTTCATGGCCCGCACATTGTAAGCGCGTTACTTTCTGACTCTTATTGGGCACTGAGCACATCTGATCCCGTGCATCACCGATNCACCGATGACGAATCTGTTTACCACATGAACCTGCCTGAGTTTCAATAACCCTTAAAAGTGAATGAATTGCACAGTGATTCGGTTTTCACATGTGAACTGGTCATGCACTCACATACAAGCAGGCCTTACATGTCGGACATTGTTCCACGCAGGTGTCGTGAAACCACCATCCACGACACTCGATGCATCCCAGTTGATGCGCATTCGATCGGAACACGCTATAGGCGGAGCACTGCTGGCACAACGGATGACACGGACGACACACGGGGACCAAATGAGTTCGTGTCTCGGCCAACTGCGCAAGGTGAACCGAGAGACTCGTATTGGCGAATGGGTGAATCACTTCAGTGCTCAGGTATGTCCCGACTGGACAGTCGCCACGTATGCAAGTCACGTGAGAGATATCGACTTCTGTGGAAGTAAGAGAAAATTGTAAAGGCCAGTTGATCATAAATATTCTGATTTCGTCTATTGGCTGAATTTATGGAAAAGAACGGATTACTGCATACATAACGAATAGCATTCGGAATTGAGCGAAGATTTTCACTGTTGAGATGTATTTACCGCTGTCCTTATATTGCGTTGGAAAGTGCGAGGAACGCAGCTGTCAAGCAGAACGGAATGCCTGCAACGATGCACACAGGTGTAGTAAACGGAAATAACACTCCAGTCAACGTTCAAGACAATACAAAATAAACAAGGTGGGGGTCGAAGCCGAAGACTAGCATTTACAGCTGATTATAAAGACAATGTCGAGGCAACCCAACTACTAAGCTACAGATCAACTTATCGTTCTCACTGATCCAGCGGACCTAGCAGGAACAGCACGAAAGTGAAGAAGCTTTCTACTCACAAACATTTGCTCAAAATTGTCAGAGATGGGCCAATAACATGAATCGTAAATAAAATTGTTGTGCGATAGAACGTTAGCTGTATACAGTAGAACGTGCGCATGAGTTGCTTTTGAATTTGACCACAACGCAGTTGTACACCAATCAGCCTTCTCTATTGCAAAGTGATCTTTTCGGTAAGCAAGATGAATTACAATGGAAGCCATCAATTACGAATGTATTGATGGCTGGGAATGTGTAGAATGCCTTGAATAAATAAATACGCGTTCAAATTTCTGTGGTGATCCTACACAACGTGACAGAACCAGCTAAAGAACGAGTCGATACAGTATCCAGTTGACCAATGAGAAACCGGTGTTCTGGACCAACCATAATCCACGTAGTTCAAACACGAATCGTGGGTCCCCAGGAACACGAACTATAATTGGTGAATACTGCTCGACCAATAAAATCCATTTGTACGTTTTGTCTAATCGCATTGATTTCTTGCAATATACTATTCGCCACCTCTTCGACCCTCTACCTCTCTCTGACCGGAAATTTCGACATACAAGTATCAGTACAATTTTGTGTTTTGATTGTACTTCTACGTACTGATTTGCGACCATTAAGATCAGTACGGTTTTACACTTTGGTAACTTTTAAACAGTATGTGAACATTGTAGGCCGCAGCGGGTTATTTGTCAGTCCCAGCGAATATTTCGAATTCCCGCGTGTGCTGAGTGTATTGCTGTACGCTCTCAGTTGCTTGCACCAACGATTGGTACCCGCGGGTGGAAGCGAGGGACAGAGCACGACTCGAGCCTGAGTGAGATAGCGTCATCGAAAAGAACAAGCTTGTATAAAACCGTGCGTATCGACGGCTCAGTAAGTTTGCGTCCTTGATCTGCTGATAGTAACATTGGTCTGGTGCGCTACTGGTTGGCTCAGTCATCGTCTAACCTAAGTAATCGTGGGATGCACAAGCAGCTAACGCGTCCTTATTAGCCGATTGACTATGCAATCATTCCTTCTTAGCAAAAATAATATTTTGGTGACTATCGTAGGCCACCAATACCATGCATCACTACACTAATGTGAAACGGTGACACAAAAATACCACCAGAAAAATGTCTGTTTTCTCTGGTTTTATATGAAATCTGGTTCACTTCATGTCAGTGCTCTGTCACGACCTAGGCTATTCGTGAATAGCCGTAGGGGTAATCTAATGGAAATATGAACGATAGTTGTGCTGTAGATGGGATGTACATTGAAAGTAGTATGATAGTTCACATGTCTAGTTGAATCATGCATTCGCGAGGAAGACACATGCTAGAATGGATTGGGAACATGTGACTGTTGTGTGGGTCATGGTTTAAACAAGAAAGCATCTAAACAACTGCCAGATGGGCAAAACGGAATTCGACTTAGTAATGAAGGATCGGCTTCAATGTGTGGTGTTCAGTGTCTTCATAATCTGATCCGAATTTTACCGGACACACTGATTGTTCAATTCATAATGACGAGTTCCATTGGGATAAAGAAGATAGATTATGTATTGCAAAACTTTTATTTACTATAAATTTGAAACTGCACGGTTTCCGAGTGTAACAACAAACATGTAAACTAAGACGGAAACATCATGGTTAAACCACAAAAATATCTATGGTAGTATATTTTACTGTCTGACAAATACGTCAGTCGAGTTTTTTATTCTGTCACTTTTAAATTATTTGTTAAAGTTTAGCATTCACTAACATTTTAAAATCCGTCTGACCGGTTTCGGATCACTGGAAAAAATACAAGGAATCGGACTACCGTCGGGGGGGGGATGACTACTTACCCAATTCCTTAAGTGTTTTGTTATTTGTATCTATGGATTGACGAATTAGGAACCGTTCACATTTTGTACATCCACCTGGGCCTGCATGAGACTCGGGTCCGCTGCAAATAGGTTGCTGACTGGCTTCACGTGGATGACAATTGGCGTTGCATGGTTCGCAAATCCCACGTCTCCGATTCAAATATGTATCTCGAGGACATTTGGAGACGCAAAAGCCGTTGTACTTTGGAAACAAAGGGTGACAACAAGCTTTATGGTCAGCTCTGTCGAAGCAGTGGAGTAGTGTATGAACAAGTTGTCCCTTTATTAGCTCTAAATACATCTATATGCCAATCTGAACAGATGAGGTATCCAAGTAAATATGGGGTGAAAGAAAATACCGGAGTAGAATAAAAACAACAGCAAAACAAGTGCACTTAGCCTCGGGTTGGTACAACAAAAACATCTTTGTTTGTTTGCAGCACGCCAGGTAGACTTATCTTTTTATCTTTGGAATTGTGAACACAAACTGATGCATGCATGCTATTGGCTCTGATCCAATGTCATTAGTGCTTCCGTCCAAAGATAACCTGAAGCTTTGCAGCACCAGCCTAAAATCCAGGAAGCGTACTACGGAAACCTGATCGGAAAACATTTTTTTCAACTCTAAGCCCCGTCACTTCTGAACGATCTTACTGGTAATTCCGGTCTGATTCAGTGTAAGAAACTAACGCAAAGTAACGTTAGCGTTTCCTGGGATGTGGTTCAGCCACCTCAGACAGTGCAGTGAAATGACCTTGTTTGAAGGACGATTATCGGACCCTGACACACGTCGTTTGACCTCATCGTTAGCGATGATATGCTCCCATCATACGCGGGAGATGCTATATAGGGGGAATTGATTCCAAACCACCCACACAACATAAGAATTTAATAGCGGCACCCATCCTCGAATAAACCCCGAAATGGACAACAAAGATCCCCCTTGGAGCCAGGGACCATGAAGCTCATCTGCCAGTGTTCAGACCATGGTCAAATCAGATACCAGGGATAGCTGCCCGCGAGCGAACTGCACATGAACGGTTCTGGCAGTCACTGGTTCCCAGATGATCCCAGATGATGATATACTCCATAACCTACCTCGCTCCCTTATGGGTGTAGTTTCCTGAGGAAAAGCCCCGGGTAGGAACCATTATTAAGGCCCCCACATTTCGATCTGCGCAACCGGGTAGTATCACGACCACAAACGAATCACATACACACGCCGCTATACGGACATACCTTTTATTTATGTGCTCTAAACATATCGATCGAATAAAATTGATTACATCTAATACTTGGATCGTTAGTGAAGAGAACGGCTTTTGTTGTTCTACCAATCCCAAAAATATGAAAGTTATTTAAACAAATTTTATTGATACTCTTCGTAGAAAGAAAACCAAAAAAATAATACAGTGCTTCCAGGGTTCCATTTGGGCTCTTTGTCATCAGTTGTTTCAGTTGTTCAGTACAGATAGTAAAGCTACTAATCGGAGCTATCTAGGTTCTTATTTCACCCTATTATAGCAGAGGAATGATTAATTGTCTTTTCAGTTACCAGATCACTTGTCGAAGACTCAAACCACGTTCTGGTTTGCCTGATTGCTATTGATGCTCACGTAAAGCGTTTACTGCGTACACGTTTTAACTCTTCTCACTCATTTTTCTCTCTCTCACTCTCTCTCTATCACACACACACACACACACACACACACACACACACATCTAACCAGGTCTAAACAACGCAGTCTTTGGACCGATTCAACAAAGCAACACTTACTATTGCTTTTGATTGAATTAAAATTCTCTCCTCCCACAACACCTGTTTGAACTTTTTTAATTCAATTTAAAAAGAAATATTAGTATGAAGGACTTACAATATATTATTTGTTTTCACTTCTGAAGGGGGGGAGGTAAATATACGTAGCGTAGAAAAACAATATTGGAACTGGTCCCCGCTTCCAAACCTAGTCAGTTTAGCACTGATCAAAGCTTCTTCATCCATAGTTCATCTGTTTACATTAACTGTCACATAGCCAGGATGTTGATGAACAATGATGAGCATCAAGGCTAGCGAGAGTGTGGCTTGTTAGGTCAATATCGACATGAGCAGAAACATAATATTATCTGTCTGCCATATAGGTTTGGATTGCGGCTAGGCACGGCTAGCTTCTTCCAGGTGGGTCTATCGATTCAATCAAAAAACCTCGGATAAAATATTCAACTATATTTAAAAAGCTTAACCGTTGTGATTGGAACCAAGCCTTATTATGGTATACAGGATCATGAGTGAGAACAAGTGTTCGTGCATACCAGTTTTCAGTTAAATGAGCGGAAGTTACACATCCTTAAACATGTGAATGTCAAGCAACATCCCAATTTGGGTCTTGTGGTTAAACTGATCAAGCTAATTAATACACTAAAGCCAATGGGTTCCACCCGTCATCCTCTTCATCAAGGCTGTTCGCTTCGGGAACATGAAGCCTATCAATGTTCTGTAAAGAAGAAAATCGTCGTGAAAAGAAAAACCTCATAGGTAATCAAACCACAATTAACAATTCTGCCCAAACGGAGTACTGCACTGTTTGGAAGGTTAGTGCTGACACCCTTATATTTTTATTAACAACAAAGAAGAAACATTCACTTATGGTTTTGGATCGGCACTTTGTGCGTGCCGTCGAATACCAAGTGGCTCCCTTCTATTCAATAAACAAAATTAATATCACTAGCAGAGCTGTTACTATGCGGCGTAAAATCTTGACTACTTTTGAGATAACACAGTAGTCCATTTCTGAATAGTGCTTTTTGGATGTTTATTTGTATTCGGAGCTTACCGTAAAATTTATTCCGATTCGAAGCCTTAATCCAAGTTTTTTAAAAATTAGGTTACTGTGGGTTAAATATGAATTAATTATCCAATGTAGTAGGGTTGCGCTGAGCCATATTGAACCTGCATGAAAGATCTAATTTGGTGAGAGGCTTACGACTAGAGTTAACAGGTTGTCAGTTGTCTTCCTTCGTCTCGGAGGGCCAAAACTCACTGATTATCATTGAAGACAAAACCTGAGAAAAATGAATTTGAGCGGATTGACATCACACGCCCT